AGACAAACGCCCCATTCTCACATCGGCCCCGTGAAGAATGGCCGTCGGCCACGCCGCGCCGGCTCCCGACGCCGCGTCTCCTTCTTTGGCGGCCTGTGAGAGATGGCTGAATGGAGTGCAGTCCGGACTGCGAGCGTGCCCGCGCCGGCTGCAGTGGGGTGCACAGTAGCCCGGCAATCGTGGGCTATGCGAGGCCTGTGTTTTAACTCAACGACCCGTAATGCATTGGGCCCGTACCTGTTGTGTTTAAAGAGGAATAACAAAGAGGTCCGTGAAGAACTATTGCGCTCGCTCCTCACGCTCCTCCCACCAACCTCTCTGTGGACTGGCGCTCCTCTCACCGGCCTCCGTACGGACGGGCGCTCCTCTCACCGGCTTCTCTGCGGACTGACGCTCCTCTCACCGGTCTCTCTGCGGACTGGCGCTCCTCTCACCGGCTTCTCTGCGGACTGGCGCTCTTTTCAGCGGCCTCGAGAGCGATTCTCGACTCTCGCTCGCGTCCCAGGCGCGCTAGGACGCGCTGACGTAGTGGGCCGGCGGCCGGTGCTGTCCGGCGCCGCGCCCGCATCAGTGGCCACCGATGGCGGCAGGCCAGCCCGGGCACGCGCCGCACACAATGGCAGAGCACTTACGGCGCGACAATCTGCGGAGTGCTGCTCTGGGCCAACCAGAGTACGGTCTCCGCCGCCCGCCCGCCCACCCGCCCGACGGACGCCGACAAATCGACCGCCCTCCCGCCCGGCAGACCGACCGACCGACCGACCGACCGACCGACCACCCGACCGACCGACCGGCCGACCGACCCACCCAACCACCCGCCCGCCCAACCTACCGACTGACCGACAGATCGACCGACCGACCACCCGACCACCCGCCCCGCTCGCCCGAACCGACCGACCGACCGACCGACCGACCGACCGACCGACCGGCCGACCACCCGCCCGCCCAAACCGACCGACTGACCGACAGATCGACCGACCGACTGGCCGACAACAACCTAACCTACCGACCGACCGACCGACCGACCGACGACCGACCGACCGACCGACCGACCGACCGACCGACCGACCGACCGACCGACCGACCGACCGACCGACCGACCGACCGACCGACCGAACCGGACCGACCGACCGACGACCGGTCGGTCGGTCGGACCGCCGGTCAGCGGAGGGTGGCTTCGGGCCGAGCTGAGGGCAGTCCCCGCCGCCCCACTGACCGACTGACGGTCGCGATAAAGGGGCCGGCATGGTGCCGCCGGCCAGCCGTAGCCATCAACATAATGCGAATAAGCGTTTAAAGCTGGCCATTTGAAGCCGAACACGAACAACAGTTGGTAGCCGAGCCCGATGGGCCCCCTAAAGCGGTTTCAGGAAACTGGTCTCCTCAGAGAGCGGTGGTACCTGGGAGATGGCTATATGGAAGCAGTGGTCCCTCTGGGAGCCAGTCATTTGAAGTTAGCTTGGGAAGGAGAGCGCCTGGTAGTGGCGTGGTCACCAGCCAGGGAGACGCCGTGAGAGGAGCCTAGGGGCGTGACAGAGCCCGTGCGCCAGCACGCTCAGCCCTCGTCCCTGATCGCGTGGTGCTCGGGCATGCTACCGCACCACAGAACCCGCCCCAGCGATCGCTTGTGGAAAACACCGCTCCATGATGGCTTGTTTGAGCGGCGATGCAATTCCTCTCGGGAACCTGCTGTAGGCGTTGCTGGGATACACATAAAAGGTACTTACCGAATCGTTTGACAGATCGCGTCATTTAGCCAGCGAGTTATCCTATTTGAAAAGCCTGCTTAAGCCGTGCACGCTTCAGCTGGCTTGAAGTTTCTCGGCCGAGGCGGAATGCATTAGCGCCAATGGCCTGTATTGCATATGCATGGTCCGTAGAAAAGTTGGCGTCATGGCCTAACTTTTCAAAACGCGATGCCGCGTGTTCAGGGAATTAAAGACATTTTGGTTGCGCAAATTTACGTGGTTAGACGGTATGGCGTTCTGAGACAACCTGGGGAACTGTGCGAGGGGCATGCAATCTGCTTTGTATTCCTACGGAGCTAATGGACCCGAGCAGTGGAAATTTGTGAAGATTGCGGTGAGTGCAATTCAGAGCTGTGTATCTTTTGGGACAGGAGAGAATGGTTATGCATATACATATATATACATATATATATATATATATATATATATATATAACATACATATATATATATATATATATATTTTACATATATATATAATATACATAGATATATAAGATACATATATATATATATATATATATATATAAATGGGATAGGCTTTGTGGATGTATACAACAGTCTTTCCAGCTGTCTTAATAACGGCCTGACAGATTGTTTTCGTAACATGCAATTGCTGTTGTGGTTTACACTCAGTTGTGGATGTTAGACTCGTACCGCTTGTTACTTGTCAGCTGCGAAGGGACTGATCGTGAAATTGCATGTAATGCAACCATCTGTGCCAGCAATGTGGTACATTTGTGCTGGCGTGTTTAATGACGGCTGCGCTGCCTCAGGGAATTGGCTTAAATAAATTGGCATTTCTATCTTAAACCAATCCACTTCTGATTCACCCGTTTACCAAAAGCGATGTGCTTCCCATCGTGTGGTTGTCTTGTGCAGCCCGTCCCTAAAGCCGCTCAGCGGTGTCCCAGGACAGGAGGCATGCGATATATCTGACGGTCAAAATGGACTGATATTTCAAGCTGCAACCACCGCTTTGCGTGTCGGACGCCTGCCTCAAGGAGGCCCATGCCCTGCCCCATCCCCCGCACCAAGTTCGTGGCATCTATCAATATGCACGTGACTAATTGTTGACATTTTAAAAGTTTCAGCTGGACACATAAAAATGAGATTGAAGACATGCGATGCTCTTTTACGACACGCAAGAAACTGTGCACTCTTGCGACGCTTCACACTCCGTCTTCAATAAGTTCAACCATGCCTCTCCCTACCATCTTGAAATCCTGCATACGCCCATCGCCTTTATTGTTCTGATACGTCCCTGCCGCCGCCAAAATTGCAGTATCACAGCACTTGCCTGGTTGCCGTAGCAACTGGACGCTGATTGGCCGCGAAACGATTATAGGCACAAACTAGAGTGTTCCTTAGCGCGGCATAAGCGATTATGGAGATGGTAGGTATTTTTTTGGCAATATCACATGTTTGTGCGGCAACTTTTGGATAATGCTGTGCGGCAACTTTTCTAAGATACGCGGCCGAACGCAGTAACTCCTAAATCACGCCAACTTTGATTTTGTCCTTTAGGCGTTTGCTAGTTTTTGCCATGACAGGGTGCACTTATACGCAAAATATATCAAGTCATGAGAGGAACAGGCAAAGTGGAAACATGCTGGCATAATGAGATGTTCGAGGTGGCAGGTTTTCCAAGCTTCTTGAGTTTCAATAAATTTTCCAGTGAGTTGGCGTACGGTACCCTGGTTGGTGGTCTCTAACCGGGCGCTGAGTGATGCTGACAACTGTGGCTCCTTGGCTACGTAAAACCTGGGAATGATTTAGATTTCACTAAAAAGGCGGCAGCATATGTAGCGTTCCATGTTCTGAGTATTTCAGAGTCATCGAGAGATCAATGACTACCATTAAATGAGTTAGTTTTGTGCTGGTTGACTCACCAAATGCAATGCATTCAATTCCAGCTGAAAGAAATTTGGAAGTGGACCGATTCCGTATGGACTCTTGAACCAAAAAGTATCTAGTTGATTCCAAAACTGATTTCGTCTTTGCCAGTAGTCAAGTCCGAGTGGTTTTTTGTACGGATGGATTAATCCGAAACAATAACAGACAACGTGAGTTTTTTTTTCGTCCCATGCACTTACCCGAAAACCTAGCACCAACCGAAGCGTAGTGACACATTGTGTTCAAATTTCTGTGATTGCACAGCGAGTACTTTTAGATGAACACCACAAAGCAACGCATGTTTTACGAAATGAGCTGAAGATATGCTGTGTTGTCAACCATGCGGATACTGATCGAGCACTATCCCGGCGCTTGTTATTTTAGTGGAAGGCAAGACACCCAATGCGGCGATGCATAGCAAATAACAATATCTCGTGATACATAGCATACTTCAGTCTGAAAACATGCATATATCTGTTCAGTTATTAAAGGAAATGTTCCACATTTGAAGGTATCTGATGCTTACTGAGGCAAGCATCAGATATCATGAAATAAGCTTGCTTATAACTATTTGTAAACTTATAAGTAGAAGAGACTGCTCTAGACAACACAATTTCTCTATCTGGTAAGTATGCTCCTCAGTACGTCGTTTGATTGCGTCATCGTACCTCGCACGACATTGATAAAGAGCCAGTTGACGACCGTTAGTTATATCCGGCAATCGTGCCCACGAACGCAAAATACGGAAGGCTGGGCAATCATATTATTCTGGGCCTTGATTGCCGCATGGCCAATAGAATGACAGGAGATGAATGACGTGGCATCAAGGATGTGTTAAGAAGTGCAGGGCTGCGAACTGCGCTGGAGGAATAACCTTCAAGATAACTTTTTCAGTTCACGACCCATGCAAGTGTGAAGCACTCCCTTCAATAACAAATTGGGTTTAGCATCTCTGCGATTCATTCGCCCTCAGTACTGGTCGGCGGTCGGGACCAGACGAAGCGACGCAGGATGAGCAGTCAACAGGCTTGCCATTGGCTATCGATGGCACACGTCATCTGATCACTTGACAGCTCGTCACCTGATGACGGGGCCCGGCCAGGTGGCCGGCAGATGACACGTCGGCGCTGAGGCGACGCGCTTGACAGCGCAGCACGTCGGTGGTCACGGCTTGTCGCCTGATGACCGGGCACCGCCAAATAGCTGTCAGATAAGGTGTCTGGCAGGCGCCGGCTGTGGTCATTAATGTCACAGGCCCTCTCACCGCTGCGCTGGGGTGTCAGCAGGCGACCTGACGCCGGTAATAACCTCTGCTGGTCCCTGGCCACGCCGTGGCTGACCGGATGCATGGCCTCAGGTCAGCTGCCCGGAGCCGGCGGCGGCGATGACGGCGGCGACAAAGAGAAGGAGGAAGAGGCAGAGAGAGAGCGCCAGGAGGCCATCGCCGAGGCAGAGGAACGGAGGAAGGAGAAGCATCGCAAGATGGAAGAGGAGCGGGAAAATCTGCGGCAAGGCATCAGAGATAAGGTAAGGGCTGATCCTCTCCGCGCGTTTGGTGCTTGTTCGTTTTTGTTCGAGGAGTCTCTTGTATGCCCTCGTTTTAAAATGTGCCCAGAATTCCACTTTGCTTGTAAGACGCAGGCTGAAAAGGCTCCCTAATAGAGTACGCGTGCCTATTACAAAATGCAATCAGGAGCACTGATTACCGGGGGATGTTGTCGCTCCTGACATCAAGCAGTAGCTGTTCTGACGTAGCAAACGTTATCTAACTGTCTCACAGCAATGGCGCGGTAGATGTGGGCCCGCTGCGATGCTGCAATCTCAGCTTGCGATTACGCAAGCCGTTGGGCAGAGTCCTCAAACCGCCGCGGCTCTTTGATTTGGTTTCACGTCAAAGTGGAATTGAAATGTCAAATGCCTGCTGGGTTATTCACACGATGAGAGGCTGTATGAGCGCCTGCGTCGCCTGTCCGGTGGCTGGTACTGTGAGGTCGGCCGGGCTGCCGCTCGAGTCGGCTCCAGGCGTGCCAGCGTGCGGCGGCCCGGCCCCAGGCCGTCGACCTGACGGCAGCTCCAGCTGAGCCGTCCCGTCAGACACGCCGCCGCTCCAGCCCACCCGTCCCGTCAGACACGCCGCCGCTTCAGACGGCCCGTCCCGTCAGACGTACCGCCGCTCCAGCCGACCCGTCCCGTCAGACACGCCGCCGCTCCAGCCGGCCCGTCCCGTCAGACACGCCGCCGCTCCAGCCGGCCCGTCCCGTCAGACACGCCGCCGCTTCAGCCCACCCGTTCCGTCAGAAGCACTGCCCCCCCCCCCCCCCCCCAGCCGACCTGTGCCATCAGACACACCGCCGCTCGAGCTGAGCCTGCGCACGACCGGTCACTGCAGGGCTTCGGTGACGCGGCGGGCCTGTGGGCCGTGCTGCGCGCCGTCAGCCACGTCGGCCCAGCAAACAATCGGCCGCAGTTGCGTCACCGCTCATGTTCCACATTCTACGAGCCGATCTCGCGTAATGCTCGGATCGTCTATCGACGTTGCTGCAGAGATCATTACGGTCAGAGCGCTCGCCCTGCTCAAGCGATAACCAGGAGCACTCGCCCTGCTCAAGCGATAACCAGGAGCACTCTGGCTGGCCGCCTAGTCGGCCGCAAAACTGCTCACTGGCTGAATGTTCAGGATCCAGTCCGATCGAATCCACCGAGCTTAAATATAATCTACCCACCAACACGCATTCTTAAGAAACTGAAATCCGATCCGGAACGCTTCTTCAAGCATAAATATTTCCCAGAGTAGTTCATATCGATCCCTCGCAATAAAGTAACATAACACGTTAAATGTAGTGCCCGTGGACAAAACCACGCCTTTAAAAATTGGCAATACATTCCGCAGCTCTTAAAAGTTCACTTGTGCTTGCTAATTGCCTGAATCCAATCCAGCCCTGATTCACGTCACTTGTCGCGTTCCCTGACGCAGTCCGGCCCAATCCATTGATTACCCCTCAAATCCCAGGATTTATCGGACCGGCAGTGAGCTGCTCGGACCGCCGACTGCGGGCGCTCGTGCGCGGCCCGGGCCGGCGGCGGGCGGCGAGCGGGCCGCCCATATTCCCGACCGGTCGCCGCCGCCGCCGCCGCAAATGGAATGGTGCGAAACAGCCCATACAGAGCGGCCGAGTGCCTTTGTGTCAGCAGCGGCCGGCCGCGCCGCTGACCCCAGAGGAGCGTCTCGGCAGGAGCCAACGCCCGGCGCGGCCGGTCGTGGGGACCGCCGAAGGACGACTGACGGAACGGGGCCCGCCGCGGGGCCCGCCGACGTAAGGTGACGGAATGGGGCCCGCCGCGGGGCCCGCTGTGGGGATCGCCGAAGGACAAGTGACGGAACGGGGCCCGCCGTGGGGACCGCCGAAGGACAAGTGACGGAACGGGGCACGCCGTGGGGCCCTCCGACGTAAAGTGATGGAACGGGACCCGCTGCGGGGCCCGCCGACGAAAAGTGACGGAACGGGGCCCGCCGCGGGGCCCACCGACGTAAGGTGACGGAATGGGGCCCGCCGCGGGGCCCGCCGACGTAAGGTGACGGAACGGGGCCCGCCGCGGGGCCCGCCGACGTAAAGTGACGGAACGGGGCCCGCCGCGGGGCCCACCGACGTAAGGTGACGGAACGGGGCCCGCCGCGGGGCCCGCTGACGTAAGGTGACGGAACGGGGCCCGCCGCGGGGCCCACCGACGTAAAGTGACGGGACGGGGCCGGCCGGTGTCCGTCTGCCGGACGGCCTGCCTGTGATCCGTTGGGCTCAGGGCTTCGGTGTGCAATGTGTGCAAATATGCGTTTTATACAGGAGCAATTTGTAATGCGTGTTGTGTGCCGAACCTAAAACACTGCATGTGCAGCAGAACCGCCCGCAAGAAGCGCGCTCTGGTACGTTACAGTATAACATAAAGAAGAAGGTGGTGGAGGAGGCGGCCATGCCTATGGAGCCAGACAACCCGCTCATGCGAAAGAAGAAGACACCCGAGGAGTTGGCGCGCGAGGCGGAGCTAGCCGACCAGGACGAATTCACTAGTAAGTCACTTTCCGATAAAAGACAGCTGCCGCAGAGCTTCAAACCCTTTTTAGCGTCTAGAATTCCACGGGAAAATTATGGCACCATTGGATGATGTCACCATGACGTCATACAAGGGGAATACACCATCGCAGTGAACCCAGTTACAGAGGTTCTCGGCAGGAGGTCGTGTCTCAGACGGCATGATCGGATATGCATGCCATGGGATCATATATCGATATCTTGTTCACCGCTGCATGGTTACTGACAAACAACGGCATGGCCTATGGACACAAACATTTCGCTCCATGCGTAGGCAAGGAGAGACGCGAACAAGCGTTGGCGGATTGTCAAAGACCCCTAAGAAAAAACCATGTATCACCCACTAGCCTTTTTCACACAAGCATTGCATGACGGGGCCCTGGTTTGTCGCTTAATCTGAAATGCTCGTCAAATTAGATAAGTAGGAGCAGGACAAAGGTTTGTCGTCATGGCTTTTAAAACAGCTGTGGGTTTTTACTCTAGAGAGGTTTTTGTTTCGTGGTCATGCGTACTTGTTTAACATTTCATTTTTGCGACACTTTATGCTGTTACCCATGGGACCACGTACACAGGCGTAAAATAACGCATCGGTACTTGATGACGAAACAAAAACTTTTCCAGAGTATGGGTCACCGGCTATTGTGGTAGTTCGGAAGAAAAAAGATAAATTTTCCCCTTATTTAGACTATCCTCCGTGGAATTCACAATAAGGCGCCCGTGGAATGTTGCGTGACGAAGTTAGGTACCAGTTGAACACACACTAGCGTGGAAAGGGCCTATTAGGTACTGCACGCGCGCAAAAGCCTTGCGGCCTTCCATAATCCAACAGCGTTGGCTAACCATTCTTACGGCTAAGGCTTTGACGTGTTGACATTGCTTTGCTATACCCTGAACTCCCTGCACTGCTGTAAATATTCGTAAGTCATAGTTTAGGGGACTCAACGTCGAATAAACTTTCTCCACACCAACCCAACTTTGCTCCCTGTTTTTTTTTCATATCCCACGCCACTCATTTGTAGCTGGTTCCTTGCATCGGTTTACCCGTAGGTCGTACCGTGCAGTGTGTTGGCATGCAGTCTCCTCTGGTCTGTAGGTCAGCCGAACTTTGCCATAATCTGGGCATAGCTTATACAAGGTGGCACGACTTGTCAACCTGCTGCGCTTACGTTAAGCCACTAAGCAGAAGAGATACATAGGCGATCCCCAGCATCCAGCCGGGCGAGGACTCTGTGTAAGACGGCCGAAGCTTTGAAGCTGGGCGATGACAGCCTTTGGATGGCTTTCGCGACCCCTCGACTGGAACCGACCCGGCGAGTTTGCCAGCCAGCCGCCGCAGCCTCGGCCAACTAACGGTTCTAATAAGCCGGTACAGCTGGGGTGCCGGAACGCCCCAGGCAGACACCGTACACGGGTGCGGAAGTGGCAGCCGACCGCCCGCAGCCACCGGTCTGTCCGGGAATGCTGCAACCCGCCCGTGGCCGGCCGCCTGCAGCACCAGTCTGTCTGGGCACACTGCACCCCGCCCGTGGCCGGCGTGGCCGGCGGGTGCCCCCTCAGTCGGAGGCACCCGCTGTGGGGCGGCGCGCTTCCCCACTCAGCCACAATGCGAAGGGCTGACCATGTTTCGTGCAAGGCGCTTTCCTTCAGGGTGGGACGAATGGAGCCGTGGAGAGTGTAGCTCGGCGGCGAGGAGCAGATCTGGCGGTCGACTGATTCGCCGGTGTACCATGTAATGACAATCCTGTAGTTGCCTAAACCATACGGAGGCTCACCGACTTCTGTGTTACGAATAAAATAATAATCGTTCGTACAGTAATGTTTGTAAAGTTTATTTATTTTGCGTATCTTTTTTAAATAAAATATTTTTCAACTGGAAGTTGGCTCGGAATGCCCCGTTTGGACCTTTGGACAACAACACGCTTTTGATAGATATAGGAGAGCAGCTAAATACGCTGGAATGCATGCAATTTGACTGTTGAAAGGTTTATCTCTTTCTACAAAAAAGCAAAAACAAAAGCAAACCCAAAACGAAATCCGTTCCTTCTATTTAATGCGACGGCATGAGGCTCATGGCGTTGTATATAAGTTAATAGTACGTTACACCTGGTAATTTGAGTATTGCGTGAGGATTTTGAGTCGCTGCATTAATGGAGCGTTTGATAGTCATTTCCTTGGATTTCGACGCCTGTGGTGCCGGACACGTGCCCTGCAGAAGCATGGCACTAGCTGTCGGCGTCTGGACGCTGTGGCGCCATCGCGAGGCGGCCATGTCCAACGCGGAGCGGCCTGTTGCGGTACCAGCCAGCGTGCCGCCGTGCCGACCTTGGCCACTGTTTGCCGGCCAACTCTAATTCAGCGTGCCGCTCGCCACTGATCTCTACCGCACGTGGCGCGCCGATGGAGGTGTGTGGGCCATCACAGCCAGACGCCGGGCTGTCAGGCTGTCAGGCCTCGCCGTCGGCGATGTTTGCCCACGCTCGGCGGTGAATATGTCGCCACCAGGCAGACCGGCCTCCGATGAGGTGGTGGACTCATTGAGAGCAGTCGTCGGCTGCCATAAGCGGGTGCTCAGGCAGGTGGAAATGACGAGGATGGGGTCAGCCGGGATTGACCACCGGACCGCGCTTAGCGCACTCAGGTCACCGAACGCCGCGCCTGACCGGTGATGGATCCGCTCCCTGAGGACGTGACGTCACAGCCGGCTCACCGGGCAGCTCACCTGCCAACTCTTGATTGCAGGATCGATGCACGATGGATTACAGTCCTCGCCACTCGCCTCGGAGTCAAAACTGGTGTTGCAAAATTGCTGTCCGATGCGTTGACCCAGCAGCCACACGCACCTCCTTACTCTGCGATCGCCGTGGGCGCGACCTTACGGGCGCGGGAGCTTCGGCAGTGACCGCTTTTGTTCATACCGGCCGTAGCCTTCGTGATGCATCGGTCACACGGCATGTCCTGTCGATCTTCAGGGCGTCACGCGTGGCCCGTCCGAGCCTTGAGCGCCACGCCCCGCTGGTCACGCGCGGCGCCGCGCTGCGCGGGCGCTGCCAAACAGCCACCTGTCCACCCTGTGGACATAGTCGATATTCCACCCTGTGGACATATTCGATATTCGCGGGCCACCTGGCCACCCTGTAGCGATGCTGGCTGGCCACCTGGCCGCCCTGTGGCGATATTGGCAGGCCACCTGGCCACCCTGTAGCGATGCTGGCTGGCCACCTGGCCACCCTGCGGCGATATTGGCAGGCCACCTGGCCACCCTGTGGTGATGTTTGACTACGATACGGCCGTGCGGCCGCAATCGATCCGCTGGGACAAGATTGGCGCCGGTGGCCGCTCCACCACGCTCCACGGGTGCCGACGGCTACCGAGACGGGACCCCACCGGCGCCCGCGCCGGCCCGTCCCCTGTCGAGCCTCGTTCTTACAACGCCTAGAACAATAGCATGAGTGGTGTGTTCCCTCGGTACTGCCGAGGCGGTGTTCGCCATCGCCGTCAAAAGACACACTTACCTGCTTTGTGTCCCTTTGTTAGTATAACTGGTAATCAACTTAAGCGTTTGAGCATTTTTGCGCCGGTTGGCATTCACGGTTTGTCACAAGACATGGGACAAATTCAGAGAACGAAGAGGAACAAGGTCCTGAACGTGGTACACTGCCGCAAGAATCATGAACATTTTTTGGAACAGAACTGTTAAGGACGCAGTAGTTTGGGACGCACCCGTCCAGCATTGGTGCCGCCCCCAATATTTGACAATTGTATATACTTGTATACTGTCAACTGCATATGCTATACCACTATATGCCATACAATATTTAATAGTTCATTGGTGCCCCGCCCAATATACAGCATTGGTGCCGCGTAAAATTTGCGCTTTGCCTTTTCTTCACAGACAAATAGTTGTCACATTTCCCAAGTCGTGTGCTGTATCCCTTAAAGCGATGGTACAAAACTGTGGCGAAAAGACAAGCCGCCGCGTTTAGGCACAGATGAGAGAACTATTAAGTGTGTTCGCATGTAGCGTCCAGCACGGTCACCACGCCCCAAACGATAAAGTAAACAAGACCGGGTGGTGTGAGCGGATGGGCAGTATCGGACGCTTGTGTCCTGTCGAGGTCGTCACGCCATGAGTGGTGTTGGAACGGATGAGCAGAATCGGACGCTTGTGACCTGTCGACGTCGGCACGCCGCGGGTGGTGTTGGGTGGGTGGGCAGTGTCGGACGCTTACGTCCTGTTGGGGTCGTCATGCCGGTTGGACGGGTAGGCAGTATCGGACGCTTGTGGCCTGTCGAGGTCGTCACGCCATGAGTGGTGTTGGACGGATGAGCAGTATCGGACGCTTGTGACCTGTCGACGTCGGCACGCCGCGGGTGGTGTTGGACGGGTGGGCAGCATCGGACGCTTACGACCTGTTGGGGTCGTCATGCCGTTTGGACAGGTGGGCAGTATCGGACGCTCGTGGCCTGTCGACGTCGTCACGCCGTGGTTGGTGTTGGACGGGTGGGCAGCATCGGACGCTCGTGGCCTGTCCAGGTCGTCACACCGCGGCCGGCCTTGGAGGGGTGGGCAGTACCGGACGCTTGCAACCTGTTGGGGTCGTCACGCTGGGGGCGCCGGGCTCCTCCCGCTTGCACTGGACAGTGAGCTGGCGAGCCCAGGGATAAGTCGCAGGGCGAGATTATACCGGCCCGAAAGCAGCTGAGATAATAGCATCTCATAATGTTAGTCCTGACGGATAAACAGATCAGGGTGAAACAGCATGAAGGATAAAATGGCGTGTAAATCGTCAGAGTAGTTAAAGTAACAATAAACAGACAATATCGAAATGGTGGGCATTTAGTTCAGCGCAGCAGCATGAAATTGTGCCTTCCAAGAATGCAGGAGGTAAGGGATTTCCAACGTTGCGAATTCCGCAGCCACGACCTTTTTATTACAGTTGTTGTTTTCGTCACATTTTCCATAGCTGTAGCTTTTGTGATCTTTTTGTCTCATAGGTTATCGCCCACTGAGAGACTGAGACTGTTTACGTCTTACCACACAATACTCACTGCACTGTTTTTTTTTTCATTTGCGGTATTTTACGAAAACCCTTTGAAGGCAAGTTGCGCCGTTGCCAATAGTCTCCGAATAAGCCAGCTCAAAGCAGAACAGTACTACGCCGTATTGTAAGATATCAAGCCGGGTCAGCTTGTCAGAGAAAAGAAAGTCAGGTCGACATAACCCGCTCCCACTGCCATCCATTTTTAACGAAACCGGAGCGGTAACCGCTTATAATTTCCACTGAGGCGGCTTCGGCGGGCGTGTAACTGCCAGTGATCAGCGCAGACGTCCGCCACGTCCCGTCTTCCGCTGCTGACGAGCTCCAGCAGCGCCAGCGACGCACACCGCGCATTTTTAGCGGCTCCCTGGTCTGACTTTACATACCAACAGCTCCTTTGAGTTCATCACGCGGCTCGCCGTCCCGCATACCGATGCGGTGCTACATGTGACACCTCGGGTCTGAAGACAGCGTGGTTTGGCATTAGTCTTAGGGGCGTTCTACCGCGTGCTTTCATTGAGCTCATGTCTCGTGCGGTACGATGCTTACGTATTTATGATACTGGACGCAGAAATAGCCATCATCGCCAGAAACGGCCAAAACCTTTCCCACCGTGCTGCCTGCGCCCACGGCAACCGGACGGTCGCACACCACAGACACGGAGCCGGTGGTTAGCCCGGCGCCCAGGTGCCTGTGAGTTGGGTGGCAAGTTAAGGGAAGAGTGAACTCCAAACTTGTGACTGAACTATCATCTAAGCACCATGTACAACGAACTGCTTTGCCTTTGTTTTCAGAGCTTAAAAATTCATTGGAAACGCAAGTGAACGAAATTAAACAGCAGATCGAAGGTAAGAACTGAATGTTTGGGGGCACCGCTACGACTGCAACCTTTCGTTTGAGTAATGCCCTTTTTCGCCAGCTTCGTGCACGAGGTCATGCTGCTCTAGAAGTTTAGGCGTGTCGTGGACGAGTTTAGTTCGCAGGCGGTACTGAGAGAACTACCTTAGTTACGTGAAGTCGCACGTTGCAAAGTCGCATCATTGAACGCGTTAACTACGCAAGCATGATAAATTTGTACAACACACTTGGTTCTGCATTGATTGCCAGTGCACGGGCAGGCAGCAGCATCTTGTAGGGGCGTCCAGTCCGCCGTCCATGGGTCGATAACAGAGCGGCCTGTGTTTCAGAAAAAATGAGGTCAATTCATGGTAAGTGAGGTGGCCTCGGGCGCCCCTCTGACCGTTCAGTGTCACACGGGGGGCCCGCTGCTGGCGGTGGCCCGCCCCCGCCCTTAGCCGTGTGCCTGGGGCGCGCCGCTCACTGTACCCTGCGCCCCGAGAGACCAGCCGTGCCTGGGCGGCCCGCGGCACCGCCCCCTCTCCCTCTCTCTCTGTCACGCGGATCAGCAGCGGCAGTCGCTCTCGCGCAACAGGGCCGACCGGGTCTGGCGTGAGGCGCGAGCGGTCGCCAAGGCACCTGAGCGCCCCGCCCGGACGTACGGGCAGGCCGCACACGGCCGCTCGTGAGCACGCGCAACGGCCGGGCTTCGCATGTTTGGCTTTCCTCCAGAACGCTGGCGGCATGAGCCACTCAAGCCCGTTGTGCTGCACGCGGAGCTAGCCCGATATCTGTTCAGCCCCGGTTCCTATTTTCTTTACTAGATCTTGCTTCTTATCTGACTCGCCTCCGTTTTACCTGCGAGCCGACTGACGGGGGATTTCTGGGTTGGAGCTGTTCCGGTAGCCATAACTAAGCCGAGCTGCAAGCAAAATTCTGCGCGGCAACAGACTCGGCCCCTGACGAACGCCTCTCCGCAGGTTCATCGCCCGCCCCCGGACGGCCTCACGCGACTGACCCCGCTCCTTGTGTCCACAGGAAAATGTGTCTTGCAATGATTCTGCGCGGTCGATCCGACAGCGGGGTCTATGCAAGCGCGCCGGTGACCTGAGGTCGAGCGGCGCGCGAGCCCGGCCGGCGGGCGGCGCCCGGGCGGTGGCGGGGAGACAGGCCGCACCCGGCCGCCGCCGCCGCCCCGCGCCGTGAGCCGACCGGCCGCCGCCGCTGACGAGGCGAGCCGGCGCCGCACGCCCGGCCGCGGGCCGCGGCCGCCACCGCCACCGGCGAGGCGCAGCCAGACGCACGCGGCCGCCCGCCAGCCGCGGCCGCCGGCGCGGCCCGCAGACCGGCTGCGCGCCGCGGCCCGACCCGGAGCGTGGCCTGGCCCCGTCGCCGGCCGTGACCTCTGGACCCCTGCACGGTCGGCGGCGACCCTCCCGCCCTTCCCAGCCGTGTGTGCCGTGCGTGTCCGCGTGTCCCCTTCGGCAGGGTCGCCGCCGACAGTGTCCACGGCCGGCTGGGCGGGGCTGCGGCGGAGGGGCGGCGGCCGGCGGCCCCCAGCTCTCTGTCACTGTAGCCCCTCCCTGGCCGGCCCCCTCCGCGCCGCGGCCGCCCATCCCCTCCGCCCGCCGGCCAGCCGGGTCGGGTCGCAGCGCGCCGTCGGCCGCTTCCCGCCACCGCGGCGGCCGCGGCGGGCGCGCCAGCCGTCCCGCGCTACTCTCCGCTCTTGTCTGTGTAACAAAGGTACCAAAGTCTTAGCAACGAGTGTCCGTTGGTAGTGGGCGCGGCCCGGCGCCGGCCGTGCGCCTGGCCGCCGCGGGCCAGTGTTACAGTTCTAGCGTAGGGCGCCCGGCCCGACCGTATGTTGCGCTTCTCGTGGTGTACAGTGGTGGCCAGTGGTAGCATAAGAGGCGCGACGCCCGCGGCGGTCGCGCCGGCGAGGGCGCGCCGTCGTCCGGCGCGACCACAACCTTTCCGTAGGCCTTATCTTGTTTCGACAGCGCTAATATTTTGCCGGCGGGTCCGCGCGACGGCGGGGTTTCTGTGCGGCGTCGCGCTCCGGCCGGCACGGCCCCGGCCACGCGGTCGCGTGCGTAGTGCGCAGTGGGCCCGCCCCCGAGTAGGTCGCGTCGCAGGTTTATTGTTACTGTGTAAACGTTTTGTTATAACAGGAAATATATCTTACGGTGAGAGGAAGTCTTTGGCCAAGGCGGCGACCGCAAGGGCGCTGGAGGCATCCCTAGACGGCGCCGGAGGCTGACCCAACCCGCTGAGTGACCTTCTTAGATTGGCGGGGACGGCTGGTCGCTGCACCAGGTGCGCCACCGTCCGTAAAAGCTGTCATTTTGTGGGCGCGGCCGGCGACAGCGGTCCACCGTGGGAATACGGGAGACGGCAGCCAATACAAATGCATTGGTGCTGCAGCTCGCGTGCCGCGGCAGGATAGAAGCAATGCATTTATGATGCTCTTGACCGCACTTGGCGGCGCGGGATTATCATATTGACCGACGGCGGTCCGCGTGCTCAGAGCTACGCCGCTCTCCACAGCCCGCAGACACCGTTCCAGAAGACGGCCAGCCTTGTGATGGCCTCAGCCGCAGCCGTTACGGCATGTCGCTCTGCGCCGTTCCCAGGTAATGCCCGGCGCTAATCCCGAGGTGTCGGTGCCGGCGCGACGCGAAACGCCACAGACGCCATTACGGAGCTCTCGCTGTATTCAAAACACGCCACTGTTCGCCGCAGCCGACCGGGACGGCCAGTTCTGGCGTCACGTCCTGACTCTGCTGGTGGACGGCTCGTCGTACTCGTACTCGATCTCAACGTGAGGCCGCTTCTTCCGCGCGGCCGGCCGCGCCGCTGCCGCCGCCGGCTCCGCCTCGCTGTCCGACGACTCAGCGCCCAAGTCCTGAAACGAGGCGGCGAGGCGGGTCAGAGTCGGCTGGGACGAGGCGAGGCGGGTCAGAGCCGGCGCCGCCACGGGTCACCGTCACAGGGGCCAAACATAGCGGTCCGTCAACGCAAGCGTCACGACAGCCCCGGCAGCCACACGGCAGACACCGCAGGCAGTCTGCACAGCGACCCGCACCGTCAGCACACGCGGACCGAGACCCGCTCCGCCGCTCCGTCAGCGCTGAACACCGGCGGCCGCGTCCACGCCAGCGGCCACTCCACTCCGGCCGTGCACTGACAGCGGGGTGCGGCGTCGGCACCCTGGGCAGCGCGGCGTGCCGATGCAGGAGCCATCCGGGCCAGGCTGGCGCTTACCTGCCATTCTCCGTCAGCCGGTGGCTCCAGCCCAGCCAGGCATGCGACGTGCCGCGAATGCCCCCCCCCCCCCTGCCTCAAATCCCGACCTCATCAATGTGCAAATGGGCTCGCCGGTCCCTGTGCCTTTTCATTTCCTCGGCGCCAGGTTTTCAGGGCTCGAGGCGACACCGCTGGGCTTAGGTAGCTCATACTGTCGCCACCTCACCGTCAGACATAGTCCAGACCGTCCCGCCGTCAGACACAGTCCAGACCGTCCCGCCGTCAGACACAGTCCAAGCCGTCCCGCCGTCAGACACAGTCCAGGCCGTCCCGCCGTCAGACATAGTCCGGACCGTCCCACCGTCAAACACAGTCCGGATCGCCCCGTCGTCAGACATAGTCTAGACCGTCCCACCGTCAGACGTAGTCCAGACCGCCCCGCCGTCAGACACAGTCCAGACCGTCCCGCCGTCAGACACAGTCCAGACCGTCCCGCCGTCAGACAGTCCAGACCGTCCCCGCCGTCAGACATAGTCCAGACCGTCCCGCCGTCAGACATAGTCCAGACCGTCCCGCCGTCAGACATGATCCAGACCGTTCGTTAGTCCGACAAGGCTGCAGGCCCGTCCCGCGGGGGTGCTCTGGCCTCCCGAGGGCGGCGCAGTCGTGATCGATGACAGCGTGGCGGCAGGGGTGCGTCGCTCCCCCTCCCCACACCACCCACCCAAGATCGGGGCCGGCCCGGGACGGCGGGGCGACGCCGGCCGCCAGATCGAACGGCCCAGCACGTCCCCGGCCGACGCGGATGCACGAATGGCCTGACTTGCCGGCTAACGTGGAAATAATGGAGATAATGAGTGTCGCCTGCAGCCGTGCCATTATGGCGGCGGCGCTCGTCGGGCGCGAGGCCGACCGCGCGCCCCGGTGATCGCCGTCGGAGCGAGCTGGCGGCCGCCACCCGCTGCCGGTGGCGCGGCCGCGGCGCCGCACGGCCGGCGTCACCCAGAGCAAGCCATCACAGGGATAAACTGTCGCCGGCAGCACGTCGCACGTCTCGAGGCAATTCCAGCCGGAGTCCCTCAGTCCTGCGGCTTTTGCTCAACGGCCTCTAATGCGGTCTGTCACTAACGATGCCGCGCCCGTGAAATGTGCAACACTCCTCCTTCGCAGCGGGCCTACGGGTCTACACAAGGCCTTCTGATCCCCGGAGTTGTGCAGCCCCACCGACCGATCGATTGGGGATGAGCGCGCCACATGCCAGCATGGGTCGCCATTCTCTGTCCGCTGGGGGAGCTCGCCCCGGCCAAGGTGAGCTGCGACGTACTGCGACTGAAAGCGTGCCACTCGAGGTGTCAGCAGGTGCCGGCAGGTGCCACTCGAAGTGTCAGCAGGTGCCTGCGGGTGTCTGCAGGTACCTGCAGCGGCCGCGGCTGACATACCCCCACCGTCCGGAAGCCGCCGAACAGAAGTGAAACGTGACGGCAGGCGTCCGAGCGTGATGGATCGGGTCACGTCAAGTGTGTCCACCGCGGATTTTCCATCATACTGGCGTCCAGTCAGAGCAAGTATGACACGCACAAAACGATAACGAAAACAAAATGACGTGGTCTTTCTACGAGACGTTGGCGTATCAAGGTCTAGTCGGTAACGAGGCCCAGAGTGAGAGGAGGCCCGACAACAGACACCTGCTGCGTGCCGGTCCTATCGGCGCGGCAGATAACCTTTTGGCAAAGATGACCGACGCACCGCAAACAGCCCGGCACAGTGCCAGCAGCCGGCCAGAACAACGAAACGCAGCAGACCTGTAACGTACGCACGACCAACGCCACTCCACAAAAATTATGCTTAACTGAATAGTTACAGCCGAAACGGCGATCTTCAACCCGCCACATTCTCCTCAGGTCCCTTTAGCCATCCTATTTCCCTGGTGCAGGACCACCGCACTCGCTCTCCTCGTCTGACGAGGCCACGCCGCGGCACGAAACCAAGTCACTACCCCGGTCTCCCGGTCCCAGGTCGTCTCTTCACGCGCTCCCGGGGCCGAGGCCAGTCCTGCCTCCACGGGGCCAGGTCAGGCATCCCCCCGCGTGTAAAGTTGATCGTGCCTCGGTCCGAGGGTCGAGGCAAGGTCGAGGGCGGCCGCCGCTCCCCCGAGTCGAGGCACGGTCGAGGGCGGCCCTTGCTCCCCCGGGTCGAGACACGGTCGAGGGTAGCCCTCGCTCCCCCGGGTCGAGGCGCGGCCGAGGGTGGCCGTCGCTCCCCCGAGTCGAGGCACGGTCGAGGGCGTCCCCCACTCCCCCGAGTCGAGGCACGGTCGAGGGCGGCCCTTGCTCCCCCGGGTCGAGGCACGGTCGAGGGCGGCCCTCGCCCCCCCCCCCCCGGGTCGAGGCACGGTCGAGGGCGGCCGCCGCTCCCCCGAGTCGAGGCACGGTCGAGGGCGGCCCCCGCTCCCCCGGGTCGAGGCCAGCCCAGCCCAAGGACAGCGGGGCGGCGTGCCGGTCGACCGACGCCGCGATCGAAGCGGTCGCTCGATCGCCCGGCGCCGCATCGGCGGCGGGCGCGACTCTGGCTTTGGGACGTGACGGACGTCGGGCTTCAGAGCAGCGGCCTAACGCCGGGGCCGGAGTCGGGGCCGGAGCCGGAGCCGGGGCCGGGGCCGGGGCCGGGGCCGGGGCCGGGGCCGGGGCCGGGGCCGGGGCCGGGGCCGGGGCCGGGGCCGGGGCCGGGGCCGGGGCCGGGGCCGGGGCCGGGGCAGGGGCCGGCGTCCGCCGAAGCACCACCACTGCGCCCTCTGAGACGACGCCGGCCAGAGCACGGCATCCGGTCACATGAGAAGAGAGTGCTGCCAGGACACGGGGTCAGAGCGGTGGCCATCCACGGCACGGAGTCGGGCCACAGGAGGAGCGGGTGCCATCCATAGCACGGAGTCAGGCCATAGGAGGAGCGGTTGCCGTCCAGAGCACGGAGTCAGGCCACAGGAGGAGCGGGTGCTACCCACGGCATGGAGTCAGGCCACAGGAGGAGCGGGTACAGTCCAGGGCACGGGGTCCGACCTCACAGCTTCGCGCCCCTGAGCGCGCCGCCGCGGGCGGCTGCACGGCAGCACACGGGCTCTGGACGCGCGCTGCCCGTGACGTCCGTCCGAATGGATCCCGTTCCGGCCACGCGACAGGTAGCCTCCAAGGCCAGCGCCAGCAGCCGCGGCATAGCATCGACGAAAGGCCGCTCAGGCGGCCCGGGTCGCTGGCGTCAGGTCGACCGCGTCTGGTCGGTTCGCTCCGCGCGGTGAGCCTGTAGCGCACAGTCCTCCGTGAGCCGCAGCGGACCTGCGCACCTGGCGCCGCCCCTGGGGCCAGACCATTGGCTGACAGACGCCACGACGGAGGCCAGATCATCAGCGGACGTCACGACGAAAGCCAGATCATCAGCAGACGCCACAACGGAACCTAGATCATCAGCAAACGCCACGACGGAGGCCAGATCATCAGCAATCACGATGGGGGCCAGATCATCAGCAGTCACGACGGAGGCCAGATCATCAGCAGTCACGAAGGAGGCCGGATCATCAGCAGACGTTCTATCGTGCCGCGGACCCAATTGCGCTTCTCTGGTTTGATCCGCGCGCACAAAGAACATAGCGATTATGACCCCTCAAAGCTCGGGAACACGACTGAGCGATGTCTCGCGCCACGCACAAAAGTAACGCCTACATATTTCTTCCTAATGTGACAGCAGAAAGATTTCTGACAGCACGGCATCACCTGCATAATTTTACCTCGTTTTTGCTCTACACGCTGAATATGGTTGTCCGCTGCGAGCCTCGCCAGCCTACTTCAACTTTACTATCATTGCCGCCGCCTGGAGCTGGCAGTGCGCCAGTTCGTAAACCGGGCGCCACTCGGCTAAGGCCTTAGAGGCATCCCTTAGAGTAATTCCAAGCTCATGGCTTCATGACAGAGCTCTCACGACTCCGTCGAGAAGACCTACATTAGGGACAAGGCCACACTATAGGCATACGCTGACTGGATGTCTTTCTCAGCCACTGTCTCAGACATCTCAACCCCCAGGAGTCAGGCATTCAGCAGAAGTAGTAGCAATTCGGGGTTTTCGGGCGCTCCAACTACGCTGTCACACAGCGCCCGTGACTTACAAGCCATTCGGTAGTCTCCACCTTGAACAGTTCGTGTCTCCTGGAGACATCACATCCCAAATCCGAGAATCGATCAGCGGACTCACCACCGGAAAAGCCATAGTCTGGTGCAAGGCTACCTGCGACGCTGAACCCAACTCTGTCCAATAACAGGGAATCTGAGGCAAAAGAATGCAACGGAAAGCCGACCCGGTTGCGTACCCTTTGATCTCGCCGCGGCAAACACCAAGGGTGAGGCGTCCGAGCTGAAAGCCAAACCTCTCCGTTTGATCCGGCGCACCACCAGTCTACCCCGCCCGCGGATTCGCTCCATTCCTCCGGGAGAGTGTCTCAGAAAAACAAGTGAAGCCCGGGTGAGCGATGTTAAGCCGGCGAGATGAAGACACATTTACATACAGGAGAAATAACGGCCTTGATAGTGCACTATCTGGTCCTGGGCAGACACGAAGGCAGGGGAGGGCTGTACAGGAGAATAAAGCAGGTGCGAGGGGGCGAGTGCGCGAGGGCGA